TTGCTTTGCAGTTCATGCTGGCCTTGAGTTCACTTTGTAGCCCAGGCTGGTCTCAAACTCACAACGATCCTCCTGCCTCAGCCTCCCTAGTGCTGGGATTATAGGCATGCACCACCACGCCCGGTGAAAATTATATTTTCACAGGCGTAAGAAACTTAATCATGACATGCCTGACATGGCCTTACCCACAGCCAGCTCTGCAAATCCAACAGTAGAGCTACTACGATGACAGTTTTTCTGCATAGTATTCTTGATAACACTGCCAATTACTACTAAAGAAACTATTAAACATATTTCTGTCTCAAAGATAAATCAGAAAATAAGTATATGTTACTTTCAAGAACATCTTTATTATCTTTATTTTACCACTGGTCTTCCATCCTGCCAAAATGTGTACACAAATAAACATACAATTTATTCTATTGCTTTCCCTGAGTTTTTGCATCTGCATACCTTAAGAACAATACAGAGAATAATACAGATTTCTTTCTTTTCATTCAGACTATTTTCTGAGATATTTTTAAAGTCACAATTCCTATATGAGACAACAAAGACATACATAGGAAATTTCGTACTTGTTGGGTCAGCATCAAGCAATTACTTACTGAAACACAGAGCACAGGATTTACACAGGACAAGAGCTTCTTGTCCAATCTTATTTAAGGAAAAGGAATACAATGACTTTTCAGAGGGCTAACAGTGGCTAAAATTCATTTGCTCTTAAACGACTTGGTAACAACGTATCTCACAACAGATCTATGGGTAAAAGTCTTTTTTAATCTAATTACTGAAAAAGTGTTTTCTTTCATTTGTTCTAGGTACCTTTCTTAAATCTTAAGTGAAATGGTCTGGCTCAGGTGTAAAGTAGGAAAGCAAGAATAATTAGTTTAAAAAAAAAAAAAACAACCTTTATTTTTCAGTTTATTTTTTACTAAAACGAAAGTCCAGACTAATGTCATTCTTTTTGAAATAAGAAACTAGGACATTTTCAAATTGTCAATCTAAATATACATTTGGTATATTCAAGTGGACTAATGATAAAGTTAATTTTTAGGTTTAAATATTAAAAAAGAAGCACTATTTCCCTCTCACCCAAACTACAATCAGCGTAAGCAAAAGAGAAAAGAAAATTCTGTACCCTGACATCACTTCTAGATGAAGTTGTCCTGAGACAGTTAAGAAAGCTGGAACATTGAAGAAATTCTCCTCAGATATCTTTGTTTTGCTTGAAGGCTGCAAATGAAAAACACAAGTTACAAAAAGTTATTATGTATTTTGCTTTTTCACATTTGCACATGTGCCACAATTACAAATTAAAGTGCAATTAAACCTATGTGAGGATTGTTCATTCTCATGAAAACAAAGGCAGTTCTCAGCACTTATCTCAAAGAAAAAACACCTACTTAGGAAGTCTGCCTCACAGTTTCAAAACATACAATAACCAAAGAGAAGTATTTTTGTCATAAAATGCACTTTTTGTTTTTGGAACCAGGAATCGAACTGAGAACCTCTCACTTGCTAGGCGGGCTCCATGCCACTGAACTATATGCTATATGCCCTGGCCCCTAAAATGTACTTCTTACAAAAAAGTAATTCTGATTAATGATCAAAGCAAGGCAAGAGATCATGAATTTAAAACATTAAATGTGAGTAATTACATAATTTCTTCCATTTTTGACCCATAATTGAAACGTTTCTTAAGGTAAAAGCCCCTGGTGCCAGGTGTGGTGGCGCATGCCTGTAATCTCAGCACTCTAGATCAAGAGGATCATCATGAGGGCAAGGCTAGTGTGGACTACATAGACCCTCTCTCAAAAAAAAAAAAAGCCTCTGAACATGATGTGTGGTAGTATTATTATTAAAATATGAAGTTCTTAAAACCGATTTTATAAACACATTATACACTTTCAGCCCTCTGTATACAAAGGTTCTGCATCTGCAAATTCAACAACCTCAGATCAAAACTACTGAAAATTTCTATTTATACTGAACACACGTTTTCCCTTGTCATCAACCCCTAAATAATACAGCCTAACAACAATTTACATAGCATTTACATTGTTAGGTACTATAAGTAAATGAGAGATGTACTTAGAATGGAGGATGTACATGAGTTATATGCAAATACTACATTTTTACGTGAGACCTGCACACATCTGCAGATTTTAATGTCCCTGAAGGTCCTGGAATCAATCACCTACATATACCTAAGGGTAGTTATATTTAACTTTTTTTTTTGTTTTTTTTCCAGTACCGGGAATCGAACTCACGACCTCTCGCTTGCCAGGCAGGCCCTGTGCCGCTGAGCTAAATTCCCAGTCCCTATATTTAACTTTAATTACAATTATGAAGCAGAAAGAATAGGATCCCATTTTTAAAAGAGACATTTATAAAGTTACAATATAGACAAGATTATTCCATACGAAACAAGTAAAAGGCCAGCCAACATTTACAAGAAGTAAGCTTAAGAAAGCTATCTGGAGGCCAAACATGGCAAACAATATAGTTTAAAAAGCTTCCGAATCAAGTTATGGTTTTTATTCCCATTCTTTTGGAAAGAAACTAAATTACCTATTCTTGTATTTCAAACTATGCATTTATTTGAAAGTGTTTTAGTTTTAATAGTGCAGTCAGTATAAAAGCAATAAAACCAATTTAAAATATGTAACAGATGAGATAAGAATCCTTTTATAAAAAACAGCTTCAAAAATTAAATTATGGAAATGAAATGAAGGTACATTAAATTTCATTGGTTGTTCTAAAAATACTTTATATCATATGTAAATTTTTCATTTTTTTAATTGCCTATTATTTCTTCAAACATACTTTGATACTGGCCCTATGAATCCATTAAAAAAAATCTATTTCTCAGCTGGAGGTGTAGCTACAGGTAGAGGGTTTTCCTAGCATGTGCAAGGAGCTGGGTACCACACACACACAAATCCATCTCTAAATACAATTACCAATGAAAGGATATTGTTTCTAAGAGCTTATATGTTCAAACTTAAATATCTGAGTTGAAATATTAGCATTTCAAACTAAAAGCTATCTTCTATATTTTTAAACTTTTAATTTTTTATTGATATGTTTGTGATACATAATAATTACATTCATTTTGAGGAATATATATACATATATAGAAAATATATATAAAAATGTTTTAGTATAATAGTACAGTTAGTATAAAAGCATTGCACATATATATACATACATACATACTTGATCATTTTTGATCTCCCTTACGTCCACTTTCCCCTCTCCTTCCTTCCCCAATCCTCTTCCCTATCTCCAAAAAGTTGACCTCATGTTTTCTACCATCTGTCCTTTATTTTACTCCTTATTCATATTTTGGGCTTCTCATATGAGAGAATCCATGGGATATTTAACCTCTGTCTAACTTATTTCACATCACATTATGGTCTCCAGAGCTATCCATTTGCCTATAAATCACTCAAATTCATCCTTATTTATGGCTGATAATTTCTCCATTGTCATATATATCACATTTTCTTTATTTGTCTGCTGATGTAAGTCCAGGTTGTAACACAGTTTAGCTATTATGAATTGTGCTGCTGTAAACCTGGGTGTATGCATGTGCCACTATAGTATAATACCTTTAACTCTCCAGAAAGCACCCAGGAGAGGTAGAGCCAGTTTAAATGAAATTTCTATATTTAGTCTTTTTGAGGAATTTCCATACTGATTCCCATAGTGGTTGTACTAGTTTACATTCCTGCCAGCAATGTATAAAGGTTCCTCCCCCCCACCCCCCCCCATGTCCTCACCTGCATTTATTGCTTTTTGTGTTCTTGAAGATGGCCATTCTGACTGGAGTGAGATGGAATCTCAGACTTGTTTTGATTTGCATTTCCCTACTGGCTAAAGATGCTGGGCACATTTTTCATGTATTTATCAGCCATTTGTATTTCTTGTTATGAAAATATCTATTCAGCTTATTTGTGTATTTGTTTGATTGGCCCATTTGGTTTTGGGGGTCATTTTTGATTTCTAGATATTAGTCCTCTATCAGAAGAATAGCTGGCCAACTTTTTTCCCCATTCTGTAGACTGTCTCTTCACCCTGTTGATTCTCTGCTTTACTGTAGAAAATCTTTTCAATTTGATGTTGTCCAACAAATATTTTTTTTTTTTTTTTGGTTTTTCTCCGGTACCAGGAACCGAACTCATGACCTTGCGCTTGCCAGGCAGGCGCTTTGCCACTGAGCTAAATCCCCAGCCCTCCAACAAATATTTTAAGCCTTTTTTTCAAGGATCAGATGGCTTAAGACGCACAGAGGTTGTTTTTGTGTCTTCTGTGGCATTTCTTCACTTTTTAAATGAAGAACTGCTTTCTCTGTAAGAGCCAACAAATTTGTAAGACTACCATGCTCTCTCTTTTCCTTCATATTTCAGTCTATAATTTACATTGGTTTTTATTTCAAATTTACTTAAAATGATTTCTACTATTCCTGGTATATTTAAAAGGTCTTTATGGCCTTTAGGACTAGATTTTAATTTTTCCTATATTAGCACAAAATGAGTTCTGATCTTATATCTACATAACTGAGTGCCAATATAATGCTACTTCATTATGCCTTCCATTGCTACCCGTGAACATTTGGAGATTGAAATTCATATTACTTTATTATAAATTTGTTTTATTTCTATTTTATATTAATCATTACATTATTTAAATGCTTCTCTATTGTTTTGTTATCTATAAACTTTACAATATGAAAAAACCATTGTAAAGTATTTTTAAAAGTAATTACTAAGATTAATGTCAACAAATCTTGTTGGGGACAACAAATTATACATTGAAGCTAGGGTCTGCTGGAGGCAGGGCTTGCCTTACCTTGTGGGCCAACAGGAATGAGGACACTCCTGCTTTCTCTCAGCTATGGCTGAGGCCCAAAGGTCCCTGAAGCCATGGTGCTCACAGGGCGGAATGAGATCAGCTGAGGACAATACAGAGAGGGGGAGTACCCAGGTGTGGGGAAGGATCTTAACATGTTTCTTTTGTGATGCTAAACTTGCTCCTCATTCTACTTCTTTGTCCCTGTTCCAGGAAACGTATACCACCCCTTCCCTGGCATCAGCCCACTGGTAAGCGCCACTGCTGTTCCCTGACTGCCCCCTATGAGAATGTGCATATGCGCTCCATAAAGAACGGCAAGATTGGAGTCTTTTCTCTTTGCCCATCCTGAGGCACTGACCTCCCAGCGCCCCCTTATGCATTCCTCATGTTGTCCTGTTTTTTATTTCATCCTTCACCATATCCCACATGCAGGCAGCTGGGGATCTTGGACAGGTCCTCAGTAAAATTTGGTGGGGGAATCTCCAAAGCCTGTTCCTACTTCAGAAAAACCAAAAATGATTTAAAAATATGAGAATTCTGGAAAACAGATGTGTAACAACTAAGTGAACTTAAAATCAAGAAAAAGGCATCTTAAAGATAGTAGAATTAACCTAACAGCAGATTGCACACTTTGTTTTTAATGTATGTGGATCCTTCTCCAAGACAGACCATATACTAAGGCATAAAACAAATCTCAAAAAATTTTACAAACTGAAATAATATTTTATGGGTTGTGTCTAGATGTCCCTCCCAAAGCCTCATGTGGTGGGGCTTTTTCAGTGGTTGGATCTGTGTGAGGCTGGAAAATGATACAGTACAATGCTAGGATCAGGGCACGAGGATTAAGGGTATCAATGCTACCCACCTGAAGTAGCCTGGATAAAATATAAGAGATAGAGCTGTGATCACCTCTTGCTTGCTTTTGTTTTGCTGCCTTCTGCCCACCACGAACTGTTTCTCCTGTGCAACTCCTGTCTGCCATGCCACCCTGCTTTGGAGGCAGCTGATTATGGACTGAAACCTCCATAAATTGTGAGCCAAATAAACCTTTCTGCTTTTGGTATTCTATCTCAGCAACTAGGAAGAGTTACTAGATTTTAGTTAGTTGTTAATCACTAGATTTTGTCTCAGTAACTAACACAAATACAAAGTATCTTCTCTGGCCATAATGCAATAAAATAAAAAAAAAAAAAAAAAAAAAAAGGAATAGTTACCAGGGCAAAGTTTGGTGGTTTCTGAAAAAGTTAGTAACTATTCCTACGTGTATATAAAAAAACATTAAAACAAAGTTTTAAAATAAATACTTACAAATGTTCATAACAATACCATTAGCAATAACCAAAAGGTAGAAACTCAAATGTCCATCAATGGAGAAA